AAAGTGAATAAACTGACCTTGGAAAAAATCTTCATGTTGCGAAAATGGTTAGATATCGATGAATACATTCAAAGCCAAACTGAATCAATAGAAATCCCATTTAGTGAGAAAATAGTCGATCACATGAATTTATGTGAAAAAGATATTGATGTCATTTCGTTTGCCCCCAAAATTAGATACACTTTTGGAGGAATATAATTCTCGTTTTCAACAATTTAAGAATCTTGAGCCTATCTTGGAGTTCATAATAAATTCATTCGCAGAAAGTGATGTTTCGGAAAAAATCATAAATATTTTGGCATAGAAAATTACGATGAATTAGAACTGGAAATAATAACCGTGAAGAACGACTTACGAGTCTGAAATCATACATGAGGGACGAAAACTTTTGGAATATTGTTGTTGAAAATAAATATCTATCTTTAAGGGCATTGTTTCTTAAAATAAACTACGCATGCGAATCCATATTTTTAACAATCAAGCACTTAGAATCAAAATATAGAAGCAGAATGACAAATGTAAATTTCGACCATTGTGTGGTTCAAATTATGCGTCAGATTTCATCAAGTTGTCGGAAGAAGTGCAAGGCCAAGGATCAAACTATTAATTAGTTAATACTTGTTGTAATAACTAGTGACTTATGTATTTGACTGTATGTATGCCTCATGTAATAAACATCTTGTTTTGTCTTTGTGTAATATTTTATTTGGATTAACTATTCATACGCCCTTCAGGAGTAAAGTCTTATTTTAGAATGAGATGATGGATAAGGTTGTCGACCCCTGGTGTATACGGCTCCTTTGGCGTGCCATGCCACCGCTCGGGATCGTTCGTCACGACTCGTCTCACTTCGGAACAATGTCGGTTTTTCTGCACAAATCAAAGGCGCTCGCCAGCACTCGGCAATTCATGTCCACGTGTTAGTTGGCTATGTCAGATGTTCACTCGTCCAAACTTGGCTAACATGTAGACTATAGCACTCACCTTGTATCAGTTGGCCTATGCTCACGTTGGCTAAGGCTTGGCGAACATGTATTGCCGGCTTAAGATTAACAAAAAATATGTCTCTTTCAATTATAAACAAGACATGAGAATTTGATCTTAATTTCATATATACAGGGTTACTCTTCAAAGACCAGCCAAATTTAACGATTAAGTTCAAAATATAAATACCGATACACACCTTTTGCAGTCTTGAAAAGTACGCGTAAATAAGGTTTCTACATTTATTTCAAAATATCCGAAATTGAATATGTTTTATGGACAACAACGACGCGCGCTCGTGTGTGTACGAGTCATGCACGGAGCCACACGGAGCTTTTGTCTACTATTTACTTATTTAATGACACGCTCGCTACTTAGTTCATAACTGATAACTGTCATAATAAATAAAATTTAAAAAATCTTTCATAGACGACTGGAATAGATGCTATGCCAATAAAAAGTTCTGCACAAACAGTTCGAAATACAAGTTTAGACTACAGAGCGAGGGAAAAAGGTGGAGAATAAATGTAAACAATTAGTTTTAGAAAAGATAGTTGAGCTGGAAGGCCAATGATAGGTTATGCGACTTTACTCAGGCCGCGCGAGCGCAGCGTCTAGCGCTGAAGGCGTTTAAAGCGGACTAGCTGTAGCTAGCGCTGGGCGCTGGCCGGTAAAACGAAATCACACGGACGGCTACGAAGGCAGTGGAATGGTGTCGAGCATTGCTGACCTCAACCGACACGAATATCGCGTCGGCGCGTACGCTTTTCAGTATATATTCAATCAATCAAAACTGACAGAAATTGTATGTTGTTGTATATTGTTGTATTACAGCCGTAACCCATAACTATCTTTATTAAGGCGTATTTAAAAATTGGAATCAATTATTTACAACTATTAACAATTTAAAACGATTAACTAAACAGACAGATCTTAAATACGCAATCACTTAAAATAAAACTAACTTACTGGTATTTTAATAGGTGTTCAAAATAAATTCCGTTTCTCACAATGCAAATTTGAGCACGTTTCCTTAAAATATTTTTCACATTAATTACATGTGTCTCAGCACTTGTCACTTCCGTGAATGCAGTAATTATTTTGCTGCGGAGGTCGTCATAGCTTTGGGTCTCTTCGACGTAAATTTGTCTCTATTTCACCCCATAAATAAAAGTCTAATTGTGTAAGGTCTGGTGACCTTGCAGGCCATAGTATAGGGCCGCCACGCCCAATCCACCTATCATCGTATTCGCTATTCAAATAACCACGCACTGCACTTGAATAGTAAGGCAAAGCACCAACGTGTTGGAAATAAAAATTATTCAGTAACACTATGGAAATATCGTCCAAGAAATCTTGATTAACACCTTGTAACATGTCCAAATAATTACCACCCATTAATCATCTTTCAATGAAGTACGGGCGCATAATTATTTTATCAATAATTCCGGCCCAAAAATTTCCACTAAATTGCACTTGATGATAATTATCTTTTATAGAGTATACAAATACTGTCCACTAATGTTCGTTGCGAATATTATAAAGCCATACACGCGTAAATCGTCAGTCCTCATAATATCAGTGTTATCAATTTTTGACAACAACCATTCACAAAAATGTTTTCGGGGTAGACCATCGTTATTATTCAGTGCTTGGACACGTTGGTAATGAAATGGGTGATATCTAGAAGAATTTAGAAAGAAAGAAAGAAAGAAACAGATTTTATTTGGCACATGCAGCACACTCAAGCGGATTAAATAAAACACATAACATTTAAGTAGTCATAGAAACAAACAAAAAAAAAAACAAAAAAATTATACATAGAAATCATGAAACAGAAGCAAAAAAGCAAACAATTTAGTAGTTTTAGTAGTTTCCAGACGTAGTACTGGCTGTGACAAGTAATACTATTTACGAAAATTTAAAAATAGGACACTCGGTATTTAATAAGGTCACGGTAAAGTCAACACTGTCGGGTGTCGGCTGGCCTGGTGAACGTACCCAACGCTGTATTCGAAGGGGAAGGGCGGGGGATACCTAAATCTATAAATATCGCGAGCGATATTTACAGATTTAGGTATCTAATAGTATAATATTTATAAATGATAAGCAATTAAAATAATGCATTTCCACACATTTTGTATATAAAGGATAAAATGTTTCAGTTTTTTACTTGTTAATTTTTTTTTCACCATTCGCTTGTGTTGTCTATTCTGAACCTCCTCTGTAAATTTGGCCGGTTATTCCAAAATAACCTTGTATACTGTATTTCATTATACGTATGCCATGCAGATAGTACCAGATTTTTTTAGATCGAAGATACAAACAAATTTAAAGTCCAACTAATGGTAAGAGAACTTCAAACAAAAAAGTCGGTAAATGCATTGTGACCGCTGGTGACTAAGATCCAATTCCCCACAGAATATTATACTGGCTCGTTATAACCTATAGAAGGAAACACTGCAGTGTAAGCATTACTATTGGGCATCAGAAATAGGTAAGAAGGTTACTGTTATCTACCTATCCCGACCGACGCCTGGACAGAAAAGGAGTCGTACTAACTATATCATCATTAAGCCCTTCACAAGTCCGCTGCTGAAGACAGGCGGGAGGCCTTCCATTACACCGCTAGGTACGTTCACTTGGCCGGCCGACACCCGACAGTGTTGACTTAACCATGACCTTATTACATTAAGTACCGAGTGTCCTATTTTGAAATTTTCATAAGTAGTATTACTTGTCACAAGTCCACTGCTGAACACAGGCCTCCCTCAATCAATGCCACAAAGAACGCCACTGAGCTACCTGCATCGATCAACTTCCCGCATGTCTTACCTAGGTAACACATGCGGTACCAGTCGTGACTCCATCTAGTGGACGAACGCCCTACACTTTGTCTGCCGGTACGAGGTTGCCACTAGAGAACCTTTCTTTGCCATCGGTTGTATCTATATTCTATATGTCTATTTGTCACCCTATTATTGAAGTTATCCTTAATTTCGCGCGTTTGAGAAAGTGATGAGAGTGAATTTTTACGATGCGCGCGCACACCGACACCTAAAAACGACACCATGAAGTTATTACGATGCGCGCGCACACCGAAACCTAAAAGCGACAACTTTAGTTGGTCTGTCAACTGTCAAGTTTTCGTGTGAACTGATAACTATATTCAAGGTAGTTATCTTTATATATAAAAATTACGTTTAAATAAAACTAATTTTACGAATTTTATTGCGTATATTAACTTATTTTATATTCCCGACGTTTCGGGTGCTTTCCAGCACCCGTGCTGCTGGAAAGCTCGGGAATATAAAATAAGTTAATATACGCGATAAAATCCCTAAAATTAGTTTTATTTAAATGTGTAGTATTCGCATAAATATAAGAAATCATTATAAAAATTACGTGTCACGTTGTTTGTCCGCGATAGACTCCTAAACTACTGAACTGATTTCAATGAAATTTTGCACACTGTGTGCAGTTTGGTCCAACTTGAAAGATAGGATAGTTTTTATCCCGATAAATCACCCGATAAATTTTTTATTGCGAACTTAAGGATTTTTATATGAAGGGTCGTTGGAAAGGGCAGAACAACGTCTGCCTGGCGAGCTAGTTAAAATATAAGATATGAATCTATAAAAACGTGTTTTATTTTCGTTATTTTTGTTTTGTTACGCTAAAGAAGTATAACTTCTTACGTGCGTAAATAAGTACACACACACGTTTCTTATTACATGTATAAATTATGTCGTACATTCTAGATACGACATACACTTACATTACTATAATACGATAAATTTAGCACTTCCATACAATCTTCAGCTAGCAACCTACGATGGACTTTTAATGGAATCTCTTAGCACTCTCTTAACAAAGGGTAATGAAACAATTTTAATCCGAAAAGTAGATATTGCGTAACAATAATTTTGTAAACATCTTGTGGACTTATTGCATTTCAACAATGCCTATACATTTCATTACACGAACACGTTTACGTAGCCGCGAGTTGAGTGAAGATGCTACACTGGAAAAGGATGATATTTCCAGTAAAATTCAAGAAAATTACTTACGTGTTCTTTATAAGTATATCGATAATAGTAATATACTTCCGTTTGCACTTCAAAAACGTGGTGGACAATGTTATAACAGATATTGAAGTAAATAAAAATAAAAGTAACGAAGTCAAGTCGCAGAAATGTTTGCGAGACGTGATTAAGTACATTCTCCTTTGGATAAATCCCAAAAACAGACAAGAAGAAAACGTCGATAGAAGTTTGTACTCCTTCTCAAGGAGAAACTGCGCTTGGAACAATTGTTATTTGACTGTGGAACGTCAGCTAATTAGTGATTTCTCTCAATACAGTGTCATTCTTTTCAAAGGAGCCGACATTGAATATATTCAAAATTCACTGGATCTTCCTAAAAACCGATATCCGAATCAAAAGTACGTTTTTGTAAGTGAAGATTTGGCTGCACCATATACCACATGTGGAAGACAGTGGGACGGATTTTTCAATTGGACATGGACGTACAAATTAGATTCCGATTTAATTTGGAATTCTTTTGTAATCAGAGACGTCAACGGCACAATTATAGGGCCGAAGCAAAATATGAATTGGATAAAACTTAGAGATATGAAACCTATAGACAGCAAATTTATAATGAATTTACGTTCTAAAACGAAAATAGCAGCGTGGTTTACATCCAACTGCAGGACACAGAGCCTCAGGGAGATGTTTGTGAATGAATTACAAAAGTATCTTGACGAATATAACCTACAAATAGATATATATGGAAAATGTGGTAATCACCGATGTCCTAAAGTGCTAATGAAGAGATGCTTGAAAATGGTGGAGAGAGAATATTATTTTTATTTGGCATTTGAAAACACTTTAAGTGAAGATTACGTTACGAATATTATTTTGCATGCTCTGAATCATAACGCCGTGCCTGTTGTGTTAGGTGGAGCGAATTATACCAGGTAAGAAGAATTTTCACATAATAACTTCTGAAGTCTGTTCTAAAGCAATTTATCGAATAATTACGAATACATCCACGGTTTTAAGTATCTACTGTAACTTATTTGGAAATTATTTAATTTTAGTTTTTATATGGGTTTGTACTTTTTTTAAATATAATTATTTGGCCTTATCAAGCGGTCAAGAAATATCGCAAGTTCAATCTAACACCTAGAATGTCGGATGAATTAATATCGTCATTCTCTATTTTTCTAACCTAAAAGTTGTATCTTTTTAATTTCAATGAAACCATCCCCGAAGTATGAACTATTTAAAAAAATTAAATCACTTTAGCCAGTTAAAAAAAAAACAGAATACGCATCGAATATAGAACCTTTAAGTTTTTCTAACTCTATTGAAAACACCTAGTTACTTACATACACCGCCACTACACGTCACTAAAAATATTGTCATACACATTATAATCTGTTGAATTTTCTCAACAGATTCATGCCGGATGGTGCATATTTGAACGCTTTAGAGTACGGTCCAGAGAAGCTGGCCAGGAGAATGTTTGAGATCATGCAAAATCTATCGCTGTACCAAAAGTTTTTCAGATGGAAACAGCACTATTCCTACCACGCGCATGACGAGGCTCCTGAAACGGACAACTACTGTCGTTTATGCGCCTTAGTTAACAACAGGAAAGAATTTAACACCTTTTCTTTAAAAAAGAACTTTACTAATTGGTGGACGCCGAAAGGAAAGTGTTTGAAGGATTAGATTATCTGTTTTGTCACATTATATTCGTATTACTTTTTCTATCAGACCGTCTTTACGATATAAAACGGTAGAAGTGAAAGTAAAGTCCACTAGTGAACATGGAACTCGAACTTAGAAGAATTTACATACCTTAATCTAGGCATTCATTAGTATGGAATATAATATCTTTATTTGCTTTGCATACAAATACGTACAAGTCGCGGCTTCCAGCTTTAGACTTACGTCTAGAGCTGGAAGCTAGAGAAACGTGTAGCGGTCACGCACGACTGCAACTGGAGAACCAATCAGCGCGACTTATGCGCAATAATGGCCACCGCTAGACTTTCATGCCGCTACTTATAAGTACGTAAGTAACGTGATTAAGTTACATATATAAAGGAGGTTTTGTTTTATATTCTGAATATTAAGGTATGAACAATGTAGGCGGTGTAAGTATATCCACTAACCCATATCACCCCGTGAAGTCGATGGAGGAAAACAAATCAGATGGGAAGAACAACACTAGAAATAAAAAACTGCGATTGCCCCACTTGTCAATCGTAGCAACTATGAGAAATACCTCCACTATGGGGCTATCTATGGGGAAGACCTAGTTCAGCAATGGACTATAATAGACTGTAACGGAATAACGGAACATAAACGTTTGTAATTTGTTACAAAAATCAAAGTATGAATACAAATCTATTAGACAGCTACACAGTTGCATTAGGTAATCCTGTAATGATAATTGTAAGTTTCAGAAATAAATAAATATAATGTAATGTACGCGTTTTAGTTTATCTGTGCCGTCTATTACGATACCCACGGAACGATTGGGAGTCATCCGTTTTAATGTGGGTTTCTTCAAGGCAACAGTTACAAGGTTAATACGCAACTGCGAGCGTCGATACCGAACCCATTTACGAGATTACTCTTTAATGCAATGTATGGGGGAGGCCTATGTTCATCAGTGCATTTTTGATACAATATGATGAGGATGGTGATGATTATTTTATATACAAACAAAAACAAAGCTTTCAATTTAATATATTTTATTTACTTACCATTTATATTTGTACACACATTATCGCCAAGAGATCTCAATTAAACAATTAAAAAATTATATTGTCATCATTAAAGAAAAACAAAGTTGCGCTCTTCTCTTCTCACTTTAATTCTTAATTTATTTAAGGGATAATAATCAACGATTAAGTAAAGCCAAATAAAAAATATACTACAAGGATATTTAATTTAAATTAAATAGTAAAAAAATGCAATAATATTGGTTATGTACAGTGGAATCTCGATAACTCGAATTTCAAGGGAAATGCTAAAAATTTCGAGTAAATGGTGTCTTCGACTTAACAAGTAAGGTACACAGATATGTTACTTAGAAATTTTAATGGATGTATTCATTCATTGCACGTATACAAAGTACATACAATAAAAAGGCAACAAACATTATTTTTGGATTTCGTTGCTACGAGTTGGGAGAATACTAAAACAGACCACATAAATAATAGTACTACCTAACTATCGTAATAGTTAGGTAGTACTATTATTTATTCTTTCATCATTTTATTTTATTAAATTCGACTTATGAAGTCTGCTTCTTAAAATTTGACAATATAAATATGTACTACCAATACTTCGCAGAGAAAGAATATTTTGTTCGAGTTACAAACTCTAAATAATTCGAGATACCGCGTATTTTGGGGTTCAGCGGATAGGAATGGCATCAAAATTCCACTGTATATCTCCATTGGAGATATTTTTCCATACTAATTTTGTCCTAACATGTTGGTAAGCTTGTTTGAGCTTGTTGTTCTATAACGTACCAGCAAGTTCTACAGTTCGTCGGTGAACTTAGTCGTGCGTATGTTGTGCCACAATGGCAGCGAGCCCCAGAAACGTGAACGCGAGGCCAGGTCGTTCCTCATCTCCTGCTCGACGCCTATCTCCAAGTACTCCATCTGCTGACCGCTGGTAGCCGGTTCCCATTTGAATGGCAGCTTTATCGGTTTGTTGGGGTCACTGAAGTCAAATAATTGTGACATTTTATGTATTGTAAACATCTTAATTTGAAAACAACTCTACCAGTCTACACTGGTAGAATAAAAAATAAAAAATACGGCGGGAGCCAATAAATACTAAGGCACAGTTAATTAATAAGATATAATTAATATTACTATGCAATATAAGTAAATAAAATGTTAAGTAATGTTCAATGAATAAAATTATACAATTATAATAATATAGGTACCTATTCTCGTTTAATTAATCATCATTTGTTTGAAAAATTATTTAAAGGTAATGTAATATAAGATAATGATATATGGGCATATATCATTAATAACAACACAGACAAAATAAAAATAATTAAGTTATATAGACATCTACATCTATCCTCTGTTACAAATCAAAATGTAGATGTGTTGTCACCCGTGAGGACTAAGATGGAATGCTTCATTTCCAGTAAAAAAAGGCCTAAATGTGATAATTCAGTATAAACTAGTTTCATTAATGTAATTTTAATAATTATTTATTATTCATTAATTTATTGAGAACCTTTGACAAAGTATTATGTTAATCCACCGTATAGGTTTGCACGTAGTAAAGCCATGTTGCAACTGTATTAGTAGTATAGTTGTAGCACGAATGGGTTGGCTCGACCGGGGAAGGACCACGCTCTCACAGAATACCAGCATGAAATAGCAGCTGAACACTGCTGTGTTTCGTATGGTGAGTGTAGAGAATCGGAGACCCTTTTTACTGGAAAAGAGGCATTCCATCTTAGTCCTCACGGGTGGATAGATATAGATGTCTGGAGGCCACAGCAACCACTTACCATCAGGTGGACTGTGTGCTCGTTTGTCACCCTATCCTATAAAAAAAATAACAATTCAAAATCATGAATGCTGCGGTTGGCAACCCGCCTGACAAACGTAACAGGCAACTATGGCAAAATTCACTCAATCAGACAACTTACGGAGGAGGCCTTTGTTTAGCAGTGGACTTTTATGGGCTGTAATGATGATGATGATATAATATCAAGTGTCCGACCACTAGACCAATGAGGCGGTCAAAGTCAAAAGGTAATAAATGCATAGGATTGTTTCTTCTCACCCAGAGGTGGCAAAGTTCGTCCAAAGAGTGATGATCAGCTCGCTGATCTCCCTGTCCTTCTCAGAGAACGGCTTTGAGAGAAAACGTATCGGGAACAGGTGCATCAGTTCATCAGCATGACAGACGCCTGAAAAGAAATAAAAAGTAAGCAAGAAAGAATATTGAACGTTATTCGACATTTCGCAATTTTATACAGATAGTAGGTGGCGCAAGGTTGTTGCCTTTTCCAATAGTGACGAGTTTCCCTCCGCATAACCTCCGGACTTTTTACAGTAATCTATCTATATATATATATAAATAAAACTGAAGTGTCTTTTATACATGAGTAAAAATTTTTTAAATTTTGGAACGAAGCTTTTTATCGGATGGTACGGATTTGGTGGATGGGGGCTAGGCGAGAAAAACCCTTTCTGACGTAGTGTAGACGGCCTTGGCGGCCTTGGCGGCTTGAGGAAACGAGATGGAATTCTATCCATCGCACTCGCACTTTTTCTTATCTTTTCATGAAAGAAGTATTCAAATGACGCTTCATTTTAATAGACGCAAGTAATTCATTTATATGTATTTGTTAATCAATAACGTAATAAGTTTATCAATAATAATATACTACGTAAGGAACTCCGTTCCAAACTAGTGTTCCACGACACTCACGCATGTTTCTTGTTTGTCTGTCTATCCGGGCTAATCTTATAAATGGCTGAACAGAATGTGATGAAACTTTACGAACATATAAATAGCAATACCAGGAGGGATCTATGATATATTTTACCAGAAAAAAAAATTGTGAGGCGTCGCAGGACGCCTGGCAGATTTGAAACATCGAAATTATTTTTGCACAGGTAATATGCATAAAAGGATAGCTTACGACAGGAAATAAACATTGCATAATAAACATTTATATTCTTTAAATACAAACATTTGAAATTCACGTCAAATCAATCATCATCATTATAGCCCTTCATAAGTCCGCTGCTGAACATAGGTCTCCCCCAAAGAATGCCACAAAGCACGGTCCTGAGCCACCTGCATCCATCGACTTCCTGCATATCTTACTTGGTCGGCACTCCATCTAGTGGGGGGTCGCCCTTCGCGACTTTATCGGAACATTTATCAGCGGCTTTAAACATCATGCATTCTGTATTTTTACGTTGTCATGAGCCCGTGCTCAGCAGCATATTTCTCACAAAACCTTAGCATCTCGTTAAAACTCCCGCAGCTCTTCTAGATAAGCTTTGTTTTTGTTTTTTTTTTTACTTTGTTTTATATTGTATACTGAAAATTCGGTTCATTCATGTATTTAAATAATATAAAACAAGATTTTTATAAGCGTTGTTGGCGTCACCATCAGGGTTCATCATTAGATCAGTTCCATGGTAACAGATTATTGGAAATTCATCAAAGCTACCTATATATATGCCAAATATCATTTCAATCGGTTGCTAGCGAATACTTTAAAAATTGATTAAGTATAAATTTTGAACCGGACGGATATATCAAGAAAGGAAGTTATACAAAGTTGTAAGAAAAACAACAATACTTTATTAAATTTTTTAGGGTGACGAACACAGTACTAACCATAATCACCGTCCTCATCACCGAAGATCTGTGAAAAGCTATTGGTGGCCCTGTACGTCAGTTCGTACAGGTACACGGGATTCTTCGTGTAGTTGAATGTTAATTCGATCGCTTCCAGTGCCGGGTAAGCGAAGTAGGAGTCTGAGTATAGCTGTAACAAGTGGAATATAATGCATAAACTTCTCATACGTGCACCCAGAGCGGTAGGCAGAGTCTACATACATATATTTGACAAGATCCTGGTAGATCTACGTACTATACGTGGTAGTGTCATGTTGCAGCCTCAAAAGAGCTTAGTCCACAGGGGTGACGCATCTATA